GAACAACAAGAAAATCGAACTTCAATTTGTTGTATCTTTTATTTGTAGTAGTTTAATTATTTCGACAAAGCATAAAGTAGTGTTTGACATAATCTAAAGTGCCTTTTGGCATAGCATCAAACACTACTTTACATATAATAGTGTTTGACATTCTCAAGAGTTAGCATTAAGCACTATTAGTGAAAGTTGAGAAAAAACTAAAAATTGCTCTATTTATTTCTATAAACTATGTATGCTCAAACTAGGAATGTCAAATAGGGTTGGTTCGATTAACCCCACGGTGGAGTATGGCCCTAAGGCTGGTCCAAAACCGTGAAAGACTTGTTGGGATAAGTGTTCATAAGTATTAGGACTTTACTGTAAATAAGATAAATGTTTCGAATTTTATTGAATAAATAATATTTATAAAATGAAGTTGCATCATATTTTGAGAACGTGTGCATAGTGCCTTCTAATAATGTTATAAATTAGGTTGATTAGTTCTGAAGATACTGTTTTGTATATTGGTCGAGAAATTAAATGTCCACGACCACAAGATAAGAGGTGGCATTCTATTATTTTAAGATTGTAATAGTTGCTACTCTATCAATTGGTAATGCGATTTGTCTTGATTGTGACGCCAAAATTTCAAGATTAGTGGCACTACTTGGTATATATATATATATCATGAAGTGTGAAGGACATGACCATTTTGTTATCCTAATGCAGGATTGTGCTAGAAAGAATTAAACTACATTTTAACTTATTTATGATTTACCTTTAGAACCATGCCACAGTTACAACTTTGTTTGACAGTTTTTTTGATAGCCCCCTCAAATGGGAGTGGGCCTACAAATCGTGGGTCCCACCCCCATGTGAAGGGGCTATCAAAAAAACTATCAAATAAAGTTGTACATTCAGCTTTATTGTTTACCTTAAACCTTTACGGATTAGCAGTTGCTATTCATCTCTAGTATTTTTTATGTGCGAATGATTGAAATCTAATTATCGGTTTAAATGTAGTATACAATATTCTCGTTCAAAATCTGCCTCCTGGTTCAAATGGTAAAGAAGTCCATTCAAAATCACTTTTATTTGAGCTTATTATTTGTTGACATTCGAATTATCATAGTTATTTGATTGCGAAGAAACCGTTGAAGAAAATATTAGCTCAGGTGAGTGAATAATTAATAGGGGTAAAAGATCAATTTAGCATAGTACTATTTGATGTTCGACATGGAAAATGAATTAAGATAACAATTCAAGAGGATTTAATCTCAGAAAATTAAAATAATATTGCTTTTGTGATTTTATATATTTCGAGATGTTAGTCTGGCCTTTAGTGGAATAAGCTCAGACTAATAATTAACTGGACAAATCAGACTAGATAATTTATGTACAATTATTATAGCTTGATATGTTTGTGCGCGCGCTTGAGAGAGAGAGAGAGATTGACTGGATCCTTTCGGTAGCTTTGATAAAGTTGAAGGAGTTAATTATACAATAATGCTATGTAATTCCAATGGGGTTGCATGCAACCTCAGTGGAGATGAATAACGTTGCTCTTAATTATATGTATAATTGAAGTCCAAGGGTTGTACTTATTACCTAACTAAAGTTTGATCGAAGTCAATTGGCCAACCAAAAGTCAAACCCGAATTATAATTAATTAAAATTTCAAATTTGACCACATATGGTAAGTATGACCACGTTCTTGAAAGAATAGATACTAAAACCATCAATCAAACATTTTAAAAAGGAAACAAGACTTAGATAAAGACTTGAAGTATTGATATTTTTAATAACACATTTTCTTGATCTTAGTGTTACGTGTTGAAATAATCATTGTATCTCAGAGTCTCATTGTATATCCACATGTCAAAATAAATATTTACATCTAGACCTCCAAAGCATGTCGAACCAAAAATGCACCCCAACCACTAAAACTTCTCTTATTAAGGGAATGTAGACCATCAATCACTTGGCTAAATTATTCACGGGGTAGTTATTCTGCTTAGAACCGCTGTGCACTTAATTGTTTAGATATGCAACATATAGTAATCTAGAAAAAAATCTTTGTTCCAAGTTAAATAATTTTTTTTTCACGTTCTTTGGGATTAAACTTCCAACATAACCGTGCTTATTGATGGCCCGCATAGCTCGAGCCATTGCGATCGAGAAGTAAAACGGGTGCTTCAGTGTTTTGTACAATTGATTAGTGTTGAAAGGGAGGGGCCGGGGGGCGGGGGTCATATTTAAAGTTGGGGGATAACTTGGACGCAATGCAATTTTTTTTTTTTTTTAATGTCAAATAGGGTTGGTTCGATTGACCCCATGCTGGAGTATGGCCCTAAGGCTGGTCCAAAACCGTGAAAGACTTGTTGGGATAGGCGTTCACAAGTATTAGGACTTTACTGTAAATAAGATAAATGTTTCGAATTTTATTGTATATTGGTCGAGAAATTAAATGTCGACGACCATAAGATAAGAGGTGGCATTCTATTCTTTTGAGACTGTAATAGTTGCTACTCTATCAATTGGTAATGCGATTTGTCTTGATTGTGATGTGAAAATCTCAAAATTAATGGCACCAATACACTTGGTGTATATTTCAAGAAGTGTAATGGACATTAGCATTTTGTTATCCTAATGCATGATTGTGCTAGAAAGAATTAAAGTACATTTTAACTTATTTATGATTTACCATTTTGGTATATATTTTGTTTTTTCATGGTGACAAATACAATACAAGAATTGAGTTATAAAAGCAATTTGGCCTAGAAAAATTTATGATGTGATTATTATTACTTAAATACAAATAATAACTGCGTAAAACTTAGAGTCATTTTTTCAAAAATAATACTATCTAGCATTATTCGTGCTACAACACCAGTGTAGGTGGTGTTAAGTGATAGATTCAATGAAAAGTAAAATTTATTGATTTATTTAATTATACATCTTATTTAATGTCATGTTAGTACCACATAAAACTCATGCTTCAGCACCAAGAGTATTAAATAGTTCCTTTTTTGAAGATATTAATTTTCGCAAATGAACAAACTCGAACTCGAACTCGAACTCATGAGTGCGGTAACACACCATTCCATTAGCGTGCAAATGAATTTATTTTTTCAAAAATATAATTCGTTTTATTATACAATCTAATATAAAATAATCGTTTATTTAAAACTATAAACGTTTTAAAAAGGTGTAACTTACATCTCATAAGATTTATGAAAAGGCACTTAACTTTATGTAAAGTTTCATTTTAGTCTCTCAACTTTTATTATGTTCTAATTGGATCGATGAAGTCTTGTTTTCTTTCCTAATTTCCTTTCTACGAGATTTGAAAATCGACCCTAGTGACTAGATTAGAAAAAAATGATGAGAAGACCAAAACTAATTAGTTAATTGTAGTCACTAAAAAAGTAGTTACTTTAATCTTTTAGTAAATCCAATAATGAATCAAAAGGGGTAGTGATAAATAATTGATGTAGTCAACCCCAGATTTATTAGAAATAATATATAGTAGGTATTATTTTATTTTTTTATTTCTGGTCCTCTCTTTTGCTCGGAGACGATGATTTCCCAAAATGTCAAAAATGCATTAGGAAACAAGAAGTTCGGGACCAAAAATTGAGCTCATTAAAGCAATCACGGAATCAAATTTTTCACGTTAGGGGACGAAATAATTTTAAGGAGGGAAAACTATACCTGTATTACGTATATACTAGAATGATTTTGAAATTCTTTACAAATTTAGGAAGATACATGAAAACGTTGGGGGAGCAGTTGCTCTCGTCCCCATCCGATCCCATTGCATTTGCATTAATGAGATTGTGGAATATCAGTAGAAGACTCGCACGAATATCCTATCTTAATAACAAAAATTGTGTAGCAAAAAGCACCACTATCTTAAGAGGAGAGCAAAATAAGATTCATCTAGACGTACTAATGCTACACCCGAAAGGTTAGTAACCGAGAGCGTCACAATCTTATACTTGCCCCCGTTTGGCTTCTATTATTTGAAATTATAATTTTTGGAATAATATGTTTTTGAAGAATATGTGGTTGAAAAATAAGGAAAATTTTTTGACTTGCGTATGATATTATTTTATGAAAGATTATGCGGTTTAAAAAAACAAAAAAAGAGAGAGAATAATAAATTTTTGGGATAACAGGCGCGCGGCATAATTTCTAAAATCCTTCCAAGAGTTTCTGATTCAAATTCTACATTCAAGAAATTCTTATGCCAAGTTGGAGCTATGAAAATGATAAGTAGCAATCACTAGCAAGAAATTTTGTATGCTTTTCCCAATTCTGTCCCTCTCAACCATGAACAATTCCTATTTATTTTGTACCGTCAAATGTTGTATTCTAACTCATATTGCAATACAACAATCTGTACCCACAGTTTGCTGTCCCTTTTTATTCACATTAGTGCCTGTGACAGAATGATGAAAAATTGGACAGTTTTGAACTTCACATTCAAGATAACGGGTATAATCAGAAATACATAAACAACTGATTGAGAGAAATAGATTTTTTCTTGAATTTATTCCTTGTATTCGCAATATTCTTGAAGTTTTAATTTGTGTACTTTATTTATAGACACTGCCATCAAGCATAGATTCCTTCTATGCTGTAAATCTAGAGCTCCCAATCTCAACGGCTCAGGGAAATTCATGGAATGAAATCTTGTGGGCTTTGTTTTCTGGTTTGATTCCACCCTTTTTTTTTAAAAAAAGATTTCGTTGTTGATAAAAAAAGACTTCTGCTTTTTGTCATTGCTTCACCTCTCCTTTTCATGGATGCTTCTTCTCTCTCTTTCGCTTTTTATGTTTATAGGCAATGGGTTCACACATACGTCTTTTGATTCCATTTTTTCAATTAATCTGAACTTTCGAGTATAAATAGGGCTGTGTCTGTTTCTGTATTCTTCATTGCTTACACTTCCTTTCATATTGCACACAAGGTGTTCTTGAAAATTCCGAGCTGAACTTTAATCTCCACCCTCAAAGATGAGCTATACAAATCTGTCTGTGGGCTCTGGTTAGTTGAGATTTTTGCTTTTTCTTTCAGCTTTTCATTCCTTATAACGACGAAATGAATGGCTTATCACAGTTATCTCTGTTTCTTTTCTGTCATTATACTCAATGTATTCATTTTGTTGAGTAGAATAATGATTTTGGTAATCAAATTTGTAGGAAGTAGAACAGCTAGAAGGACATTTGAGTTTGGGAGGACATATGTGGTGAGGCCTAGAGGGAAACATCAGGCAACAATAGTTTGGCTGCATGGCCTTGGCGATAACGGCTCGAGGTAGAACTATTCTAGCTTTTGGCATTTTGTATTGATTATCTCAATTTGAGTATCAATGGTGGATGATTGTGAAAAAAAAGCCTAAATTATTAATATGGGGACCATGATATGTTGATTTTTATATTCAACAACTTGACTGTTAATTATTCCTGGTGATTAGTATATGCCTGATAATAAAGTGGTAGTAAACTAGTGGACCTTTTGTCACAAAAGAAAGGGGAAAGTTCCTCTTGAAATAATGTCAATGGCTAAATAAGTCATGTTTACGCACTTATCCTTTTATCAAGACTTTACCTTTTATCTCGGCCTCTAACAATTCTAAAAGTAATTAACACGAGAAATCTTGAATGAAACGTGTATGCACTGCAAGCCGCTTTTTTTGTTGAAATCACTAGTTCACTTAATTTTGAAGGCTGCCGTTTCAATTTCAAATTTTTTGTTGATTCCTTCCCTTGGTATTTTGAGTCTTTTCATATAGTACTTTTTATGGAAATATTTACCCACTTGGTGTATATCTCCTTACAATCAAAATTCCAAGTGTATGTAGTTAGATATAGCGCTCGTCCTTTATGATAGTATATAGCAGCTATTTTATAATGTAGAAAATGGAAAATAAAAATGAAATTTTTCTGCTCATTTTGTTCTGTACTTCTTTTTGCAGCTGCTCACAACTTTTGGAAAGTCTTCCCCTTCCAAATGTAAGTTATCTATCCTACTTTTAACCGGTATAATTTACTTTTTTCTTCTTTAATTGAATAACTAGACTACCTGACTTTCCAAAAGAAAATTGTTTTCGATCGTACCATACTGAAATGTTGTGCTGAACTTTTTTCATGCAGGTAAAATGGATATGTCCTACTGCTCCTAGTCGCCCAGTGGCAATGCTTGGTGGATTTCCTTGCAATGCATGTAAGCAAAAAAACAGAAAATTTAAATGTGGTGATTTTAATGATCTATTAGTTAAAGTCACACGTCTCTTTTCGTGGTTTTTATAAAAGGGTTTGATGTGGGAGAGCTTTCTGAAAATGGTCCCGATGATTTGGAAGGTTTAGATGCTTCAGCAGCACATATTGCAAACTTATTATCTACAGAGCCTTCTGATGGTAAGATTATTACTCTTGCTTCATCGTGGAGAGTTCATTGTAGACAGTTAATTGACTACATCTTTAAATGTAGCTCCCTTTTTCAGTTTCAAAAGAACAAAATAAATTGAACTTTTATAAAAAAAGATTAACTCCTTTTTGGATAAAAGTGTCATTCGGAATTTTATCGGTGACCTATCTATGCAGTTAACGAGTCTTCTTCGTATCTTTAGGTGACCTTTTAGTGTGTCGTAAGTTCAATTTGACATCAATTTTGAAGATTTGTCAGTTCATCTATACAACTCCCTAAAAGTCTTCCTGTTTTTTGATATTTACACCAAGTTTGCTCAATATCTGTGTCATCATTGACAGAATTCATATTCTCGCTTTTTGGTTTCCTTCCATATTTGGGTTTGCTCATTATAATTACCAATTGATACTGTCTGGTACAGTTAAGCTCGGAATTGGAGGCTTCAGCATGGGTGCTGCAATAGCCCTCTATTCTGCGACTTGCTTTGCTCATGGAAAATATGGAAATGGCAATCCTTACCCTGTTAACTTAAGGGCTGTTGTTGGTCTTAGCGGGTGGCTTCCTGGTGCTAGGTAAGATTCCATTGATCTGTCTCAAATGATACAAAAACCATAGAATACAAAACAAGAATTATTAAAGATCCAATGATTATTTGTCTATATCTTATCTTGTTTGTGCTCATTGCATATACAAACTAAGATGTGAAATTTTTATATTTGTATTTGGGCAAATGATATTCGCTTACCTTTATAATTTATTGCAGCAATGTGAGAAACAGGGTCGAAGGATCGCATGAGGCTGCAAGGCGTGCCGCATCTCTTCCCATTTTGCTCTGTCATGGACTTTGTATGTCTAATACTTAAGATGTTACCTCATTCATATTATATATCCTAAATTCCTAAAATATTTAAGCTTTTAGCATATTTAATTATAATACCCCAAGAAAGAATCCTTCTCAACTTCTCATCCAAAACTTAATTGTTACTAATATAGTCGATGAGCTGTTTCTGTTTCTCGCCTCATTAGTTTTTTTAACAGGTGATGAAGTGGTCCCTCATACACACGGAGAGAAGTCCTTCAACACCTTGAGCTTAGCCGGATTTCGTAACGTAGTGTTTAAACCATATGATGGGTAATTGAGTCTTTTCATTTAAATTAAGCTACCCCATACATTTGGATGAAACTACAAAATCTTATATTGGATTCTGCAGGCTTGGTCATTATACCGTGCCTAATGAGATGGACGAGGTCTGCAATTGGCTGAATACGAGGTTGGGATTTTAGGAGTAGAAATTTCAAGTTTTCACTTACAGATTGAAGTGGCTGAGGATCAATGAGTGGAGGAGCAATAACAGGGGAAAACATACACACTTGTAGACAGACACATTGTAGTTAGCTGTGGCTTGCGTGGTGAATTCAGTAGTAAATAGTATTTCATCCAGTTTTGTTATGTTATGCCGGCAGTAAAATAAAGGCTTTGTTGAATTCAGTAGTAAATAGTTTACCATCCAGTTTTGTTATGTTATGCCCGCAGTGAAATAAAGACTTTGAATTTATATTATGTAGTTTGCTGAGTATTTTGGTTTTAATAATAGTATGTTGTGTCCATCAATCTGTCTCTCTTTTCCTGCACTTGTGCGCGTGCGCATGTTTCAGCATACGAGAGTTTGGTTCCTTCCTTCATATAGACACCAAAAGTCAACTAGGACACGAGATTTTTGGAGTTGTATGACCATTGCACTAGCAAAAATGATTGTTCTTGTTGACCTTGAAAATGAGATCTGAAAGTTACTAGTTCAACCCTAAAATTACTTAGCAGGTGACACGGAACTAAAATTTTTAATTAAAAGAAATAATTCACTTTTTAATTGTTCTAGATGTTTAGCCAATCAAATCAAGTTATTCTATGTTGAATTGTCTCAATAATTAATAAAATAATAAATAATACAAGATTTGGTGACAGAGAAAATCCTTAATTGGGAAAAAACTCCGAGATCAAGCCACTAGTTTCCACTACAGACAATAAGAACTTACAGTATAATTCAGTCCAGAAAACCTACTAGACTTACTGATCTAAATCCTGCAATCTATAAGACCCGTTGGAGCGTATTTCACTGACACCTGCTCCGTATCTCCTGGAATTGTCTATCCCTTGTAGAACACTAAGAATGCCTCATTCTTATACTCTTCATGCACTTCTGATCCAACCTCCCTCAAACTTCAGCAAATTTTGAAAGTTATTGAGAATATACATTCCTCATGATATCTAGGAAGTGTGGGTTTTGGATTATATGAAATTCGATATTTTTTTCAAATACTACTAATTCATCTATACAACCATCCGAAAGAATCATTGACTTTTCCAATTCTCTTGTAAAAATCATATTCTGTACAATAATTATTTTGTCTAAAGAATTGCTAATACAACTAAAAACCTAACAAGATCAACAAATTACTCTCACTTAATCGAATTTTTCTCCTTCTAAACTCACTGATCTTATGTTCAAGTAGAAACAAAAAGGAGAAATGTCTATTTGAAAGAAGAGTATTCAGATTTGCATGTCTTCTTCATTCCCAACTATATCTATTTATAGATTTCTAATGAGGGCATGAGGAAATGTGGTCCTTCCTGTTAATGACCCATGACAATCTTCGATTAGTTAAATTTTAACTGAATATGTTAGCTTTTCGCGTTTTATCCACTAATCCACATGTTTCTCATTCATTGGTTGTGAAGCTGTGGTATACATTTTTATTCACGTGTGTTCTGATAACTATTTCTGCTAATGTAGAATAGCTGGTAAAATTGATTAAAGTGTACGTGCTCACTCTGCTCGAGGTTGATTATAATGCTTGTTGATAATTTACTTAACATGCATAGTGGAAATAAAACAATTTTCAATTTCCAAACGAGGATCTGCAATGTGTTTAGATAGAAACTGTCATGAGAATAATACATTCGATGAATTCCACAAACTCTTTTGCTTTTTTTTAAACTCCAATGATCACGATCTGCAATCCAAGTTGTCCAATTGTTCAGCCTCCAATGGTGATCCACACAGAGAACAAGAATGACGGCTAGGGTTTTCTTTTCTTTAGAAATGTCTATTTGAAAGAAGAGTGTTCAGATTTGCATGTCTTCTTTGTTCCCAACTATATCTATTTATAGATTTCTAATGAGGGCATGAGGAAATGTGGTCCTTCCTGTTAATGACCCATGACAATCTTCGATTATTTAAATTTTAACTGAATCTGTTAGCTTTTCGCGTTTTATCCACTAATCCACATGTTTCTCACTCATTGGTTGTGAAATTGTGTTATACATTTTTATTCAAGTGTGTTCTGATAACTATTTCTGCTAATGTAGAATAGCTGGTAAAATTGATTAAAGTGTACGTGCTCACTCTGCTCGAGGTTGATTATAATGCTACACCTTACAAATGCTCCCTTATTTTATCATGAGTTCGCATATGGTTTGGTTGGCTTTGAAAACTTTCGCTTGACAGAGGTATGGGTTCGTCATTAATCCTTTGTAAATTTTAATTGATAACGAATAGTCCTCGAAATTCGAGTTTAATCATTATATGTTAGGCTTATTGTTTGATTTATGTATTATGTGTTGAACCTCGAAACATTGATCCCCGAATCTTGCCAGGTGATGGCGAAGTGTAAAGCAAACATGCGAGGGGAATAAGAACATAAAAGTTTCGCACAAAGTAGGCGAGCATTTCCCCATCCAAGTTAGCTATAGGCTGTTAATAAAGTACACGTAGGTCAATGAATAAGATGTAATAGGATCAGTTACAAACTAGCCAATTAGAGGTCGTCATATATATAATTGAATTCAGTAGTAAATAGTATTCCATCCAGTTTTGTTATGTTTTGCCCAGAAATGATCTAATGAGCACCGTGATTTAAGATTCAGTCATAAGTAATTTGTATCTCACAATTACAATTCTTTGTGATTAACAAATCATCAAGACTTAAATCTACGGATTCTATTATTTAATTTATTTGAATATTAATTCAATTAAATAATAGATATTGCCATACATATGCATTGATTATATATATATTCAAAGTGTTTATGTCCAAACTTGATTGGACTTAGGGCATAACACTTACAATGCTACACCTTACAAATGCTCCCTTATTTTATCATGAGTTTGCATATGGTTTGGTTGGCTTTGAAAACTTTCGCTTGACAGAGGTATGGGTTCGTCATTAATGCTTTGTAAATTTTAATTGATAACGAATAGTCCTCGAATTCGAGTTTAATCATTATATGTTAGGCTTATTGTTTGATTTATGTATTATGTGTTGAACCTCGAAATATTGATCCCCGAATCTTGCCAGCTGATGGCAAAGCGCAAAGCAAACATGTGAGGGGAATAAGAACATAAAAGTTTCGCACAAAGTAGGCGAACATTTCCCCATCCAAGTTAGCTATAGGCTGTTAATAAAGTTCACGTAGGTCAATGAATAAAATGCAATAGGATCAGTTACAAACTAGCCAATTAGAGGTCGTCATATATATAATTGAATTCAGCAGTAAATAGTATTCCATCCAGTTTTGTTATGTTTTGCCAGCAGTAAAATAAAGGTTTTGTTGAATTTAGTAGTAAATAGTTTTCCGTTCACTTTTGTTAAATGATTTTTAATTGGTACTATGTTGTATGCTTAGTATTTTGTTTTTAATAATAGGATGTTGTATCCATCAATCTCCCTCTCTCTTTTTCTATGCTTGTGTACGTGTTTCAACAAAACAAGAGTTTGGTTACTTCATATAGACACCAAAAGTCGACTAATCAATCACAAATGATCACTTACGTTATCATCAGCTCGCATATGATTTGGTTGGCTTTGAAAATGTTCGCTTGACATATGTATGGATTCGTCGTTAATCCTTTGTGAATTTAACTTTTCTCGAAGCTCGAGTCTAGTCATTTATGTTAGGTTTAGGACTTCATTTTTAATATATGTATTATGTGAACATAAAAATATTTTTATTGTACCTGAGTTTTTCGATGGTATGGGTTTTAATGATTCATCGTAATAATCAAACCCAAAATTTTATTCGATAAACTCTTGGCCTGATGTATTGGTGAACTAGTACTTCACGAAATTGAGATTGGATAAATTTAGTCCGGAAGTTTGAGCTTAACTATGTTTGTTAATTGGCGAAGTTGTGAACTTGAGATAAGGAATAAATAATGCAACTTTCAAAGTTATTTTGCGCATCAATGATAGTTGGCACGTAATTAGATGTATATGTATTTCTATGTGCGTGGTACACGCGCACGGTTTGAACCTTTTGCATGAATGTGTGAAATTACGAGGTTCGACCCAAATTACACCTAGAAAGGAGGTGAATAGGTGATTATGCGGAATTAAAAATTAATAATTAACTAACAACAAATCAGTATTAACTATCTCTAGATGATTAATCAATCAAGTCAATTTTCCTAAATTGAATTACTACAGTTATATGAAAGCAATAAATAAACAGCCAAAATGATCACAGAAAAACCCCAAATGGGTAAAAACTTCGAGCACTTTTTCCAGTCAGCAATCCACTATGAACGAATTATGAACGTAAAATCCGCTAGACACGACTACCATTTGTACTTTCTGACCCCCTGACTGCAACCCTCCTGGATTATATGCTTCTGCACCAAGTTACAGCTGTAGTTTTCAAATCTCTCCTAGATTGCGTGTTCCTGCACCAACTTCCAGCTTTATGAATTTTTCTATCTCTTGTAAATCAATGAAGAACTCCACGTTCTCCAACAACTGAAACTCCAGTCACTTTCCATTGATCTTTAGAATTCTGACAGATGTGTAGGAAGTAGCAGTTTGATATTTGGATTATGGATTTGATGTTTCAACGTCAAGATCAAATCAAAACATGAAGGTTGAAAGCTTGTTTGATGAAGAGAATATGAAGCAGTATGTATTTTCTCAATAATCAACCTTTTAAAAGAAATCGTTCAGAGGCTTGCTAGTATTTATAGTTTAGGTTTAGGATTGAATGAGTTGGACAAAAAACTTTAAAAACGCGAATTAAAAATTTCAGGGAAACTTTGTCGCTCGAGCGAAGGCAAGGCGACGGCAAACGACAATGTTTCTGTTTCTGCAACTTGAGCAAATTTGAAATAATTTGTGACGTACAAATTTTTTGATATGTGACCTCAAAATAATTTGGAATCAAAAAATTTGACGATATGTGACCAGTAAATAAATCTGTAACTTATAATTATGAATATGTGACCATTAATTACAAATTGTGACTTTATTATCTTTATTTAATAAATATTTTTAATTAATAAAATCCATACCTGATTTTTNATATCTTTAATTAATTAAATCCATACCTGATTTTTGAATTTGCAAACTATTTACCTTACTTTTGAATTGAGGTAAAGAATACACCTTAGATATGAATTTTTCCCATTTACTAAACACCAATTACAATTAAATTCTTTAATTTTTAAGTAATTATTTCCTTAATTTTTTTGCAACGAATATTTATTTGCAACCTTCCATTAATTAGTATGTCTCTTTTTTATGATAATTTATATCAAAATATTTTGTTTTCATGCTTTGAAATAAGGAAAAATAATTTTTCCAGCACTCTTAATTTATTTATTTTTTAAAATATATTATTAAAAAGTAAGTTATTTTGTGGCATTTCAACGGACTTTTGAATATAAAATTGTTAGCAAATACACAATGTATTAATTAATGGAAACTTTAATGATAAGAATGACCCATTGGGGGATATAAGTGTTATAATGAATAAAAATTAAGAATGTTAAGTACAATTAAAATATGGTGTAAGAAATAAAATTTGTAGTCGGAATATAATCATTCACGTAAGAGGGTCTTTTATGTAATTTTCTATTTTCAGTCTCTCGATATATATTGACGTTTGCCTCTCTTTCCATTTTGCTCCAGCTCTCACTCTTGGAAAAATTCTCTTCACCTACGCAATCTTCCAATTCAAAATCTCTTGCTCCGCTTCCACTGAAACGGATCGGATCTCAGGTCCGTATAATTCCAGTAGTTTCAAAAAATTTTGTATGGAAATTATGCTTTGATTAAAATTTTGCCTGTTGGAGGTTGTTTAGCTCGTTTCTTGGGCTTCTGATGATTAATTATGGTGGGAATTCGTAATTTGGGTGATTATAAGAATTTTTTGTAATAAAGAGGGATGATTTTTGCTTTTTTTTATGTTTTGCCTTTTTTAGAATTAGTTTCTGGAGGTATGCTGTGGTTGTTTTCTGACAAGTTCAGATTTTGATTGGTTGACTCTGATGTGGTTGTGCTTGGTTTTTTCAATTGTTAGATGAAAGCAATAATCATAATATATGTAGTGTAGGTTAAAGATCTTCAAAAATTATTGGGCTTGAACTGTTAAAATCTATAAACTTGCCTGATTGGGTTGGGTAGAAAAATATAATAAAGTAATTAATGATTAACTGTTCAAGAATATAATCAAATACTCACAAATTATCTTATTTGTAATGCCATATGTTCTTTTCTGTATTGTGTTTAAAATCATGAGAGAGAATTGTTGTAATCAGAATTATCAGGAGTTGATGAACTAGATTTTAATACAAGAAAATTGATTTTTCATATGAACTGACTTAGGTTTTTTAAGTACTGAATTAGGATGAAATCTGCTATTGTTAACTTGTACATGTACCATTGAATATATGATAACTAACATCATCATGAAATTGTGATTGGATATATGGAAGCAGTCTTGGCGCGTTGATTTTGTTAATATCTCAAATGCCGAAAGATAGAAGGGTGAATTCCTCATCTTTTGACCAGTCTAGGGTATCTCCTTGTGCTGGCAGCTCGAAGATTTCTGATCCTACCAAGTCAGGAAGATATTTGCCTTGTGTTGGTGATGAAGCGGAATGGGAAGAAGCAAGATGCCCCATTTGTATGGAGCATCCACACAATGCTGTCCTATTACTATGTTCCTCCCATGAAAAAGGCTGTCGACCATACATGTGTGACACAAGTTCTCGACATTCAAATTGCCTTGATCAGTTTCGCAAGTCATCTAGTGCATCATCACCAACTTCACTAGTGGACAGTCCACTAGAAGATGTCTCAGCACCACGCAGACACAGAGTGGAACAACCGTTATATAGGTCGATAAATTCCCCTAAGGGACAGCAACCTGTTTGTATCTGCCCCCTTTGCCGGGGACAGATCAATGGATGGCTTGCTATAGAGCCTGCACGGAGGTTCATGAACTCCAAACTGAGGAGCTGTTCTTCAGAAAATTGTAACTTCAGTGGAAATTATTCTGAGCTAAGGAAGCATGCCAGGCTTGAGCATCCCTCTGTTCGGCCATCAGAAGCCAACACCCAGCGGCAATCTGAATGGATGATGTTGGAGCGACAAAGGGACCTTGAGGATGCACTTAGTGCATACCAGCCAGATTTTGAATATGACTTGGGTGACTTGGACGAATTGCCCATCTGGGATGAAGATGATCTGAGGAGTGATTGGAATCTTTTTGACTTCCCTAGTGGACTGTCGGAGGACGAGGATGAACTGAGTGAAGACAACAATAGATTTACAGATCTAGAGATTGAGTTCTCTTTCTCATTCCTTGAATATCTAGCTTATCCTGAGATAGAAGTGACTGATTCTGGCACTGCAACAAGTAATGACAGAGTGAGTGACAGGAGACAGATGAATTTAAGGTCAAGTGATCCCAGTGGAAACGGCTCAACGGGTTCAAGGTCTAGATCAAATCATCATAGGGGAAATGTTCCCCCAAGTTCAAGGTCAAGTTATAATGATGGAAATGCCCTGGCAAGTTCAAGATCAACTTATCTCAGGAGATACACTCCAACAAGGTCGAGTTCAAGGTCGGGGTCAAGGTCAAGGTCAAGTTATCATAGGGCAAACAGACCCCCTGTGAGACAGAATGCATCAGGAAGGCAAATGCCCGGCTCTTCTTCACAATGGCACCAGTCAAGCCGGAGATCCTGAAGATCACTAATCTGGTATTTATTTTAAGGTGCTTCTGTTACTGTTAATGGGGCTCTACTTTTAGTTTACTTTCCTGTATTGAACTCTTAAAAGCTTTCCCTATGGTTGGTTTGGTTTTCGGTCATATGTTTATGGGGTACCTTCAGCCAAATTGTAGCGTGACAAATGTCACTCACACTAGTCAATATATTTTAATTTGGATATTGTTGATTTTTAGATAGTATAATGATCAGATAAGAATTTTAGTGCGAATAGAAACTTTGGTGTAGAAATGGAAATTTAGATTGGAAACCCCATTGACGCTGCATTCCATTCTACACGAAGAAAGGTGACGCTAAGATGGATAAAATTGTGATATTGACCAAAAATGCCCACAAGTGTACTGTTCAAATTAGTCAACCTTTGACCAAGTCCACATTCCTAGTGCCTAACTTTGGTTTACATTTCTCTACTTAATGAATTAATTAACTTTATTAGACAATGTGATAGTGGTTCTATTACCGCGTACATGTGTTTAACATTGAGCCCTTGTTTGACAGTAATTAAAATCGGATTTTATAGATTTTGATAATAGTTTATGAAATGTGTGGTTAAAAAGTTGTGGATAATATGAAATATGTTGTTAAAATTCATTGTTGATTTTGACATAGATTAAAATCTATATTAAAATTTTTGAGCTACAAAAATTGGAAATTTCTTCGAAGTTTGCTCCTAAGAAAATATAGCCTCTTTATTCAGAGAGAAGCTTCGATACGGCGATTCTAAATGCATGAATGTTATGATTGTCCATTCAAATTGTCATATCTCGAACTTCAAGTCACTCAAATCGTGACGTTTTGATGCTGCACATTCACTTTGTTTTTTCCTCTCACCACTTCAGACGTTCAAGTGTCGGGATTTGAGTGACTCGGTATATGATATGTCTTAGTTTAATAAAATGGACATTCATACAATGTGTATACATAGGACCGTTTCAGTTAAGCTTTTTTTTCATTTCGGAGATAGGGCAAACGAGGTGTTTGACTATACTCAAAGTTGAAAATTTAAATATGAATGAATGAAAATCGTGAATGCATGATGAAACGCTCGAACACATACTATTATAAAGAAACTAAGATCGGTATTGACAAATGTATTTGATCATTGCACGAAATATACAGAACTAGGATTTCGATAATATTTGAATTAATGATCTATATCTGAACTAATATCACATTAAATCACTAATACAAAAACATAAACTCTTAGAATGATGCTATTCAAGCCCATGATGATATAAACCAGTCATGCGACTGGTGCGGAATTGAGTCCAAAATCAATGATTATTCAATACAAAGATATTTCGGTGCGGTCAAGTATACATGAGGTGAAAAAAAAAAAAGTAAAAGGTGACTCTAATAACCATGTACACTTATTTTCAGGGTTTCAGTAAAACATTTACTTAAATGGACATATATAAAATTAAATAAAAAATATAACTCTAAATTCATATAAAATTTTTATTAGAGTACAGACCAGTAACTGGTGAATTTTTGTTAAAGATTTGATTTTGATGAATTTTTTTGGGAGCAGCTATTTACCTCCATCGTTCCCATTATTCACCATTAAATTATAATTCATTTTTCACTTTCCTTATCAACCACATATTTTTCTATAAAATAATATTACACATAAACCTAAATAATTCATTTCTTTTTTTTAAATCACGTACTCTTCAAAAAATTACTATTTCTCTCATTATAATGTGAAATAATGGTGACCAAACGGGAGCTATATTCACTTCTAACAGTATAATTATATTATATTTTTAACCTTATTTAAATTTACTTAAATGGACATATATAAAATTAAATAAAAAATATAACTCTAAATTCATGTGCTAATTTTTATTTTTGTTAAATTTTCTTAAATCCATTTATATTCTTTTTAGAGTTTGTGTTTTACTGAAACCCTGAAAATAAGTATACATGGTTATTGTATGTCTTTAAAATAAGTATACTTGAGCCCAAAATCATTTTTTTTTTTTTTCATTTTGGACTAAAATATTAACCACTTAATTGAAACATAATTGAGAGTTTTGGTACTTTAAGTAATTTTTTAGTTAGAGGAGTAAATCAAAATCAGTGACCTCTTAACATCCCCTTACCCATAAAAAGGACAATTTTCCTCAAGTGCATAATCATGAAATTGATTCTTTATGAGCACATCCTTGAGTAGAGATCTATTGTCCTAATTTCACCCGTCTAGTTAATTGTCCTTCACTAATATTTTGACATCTCTATTCGATTTTAAGTTGTCAAAAAATTAGGGAAACATAATTGAGCATGTAAAAAATCAAAAGATTTCTCGAACTTATAAATTTCTTCATGCTTCGAAATCATAGATGTTCAAACATTAACGAGACAACAAGATGAAACAAAATGAGTTGGGAAAAAATGGAGGCCAAACATGTGCCTAAATTCCTCAACATATTCTCACTGTTGCTTGAAGTTGAGCAGGTGGCATATCTTGCCAATAAATTAGAACTTTTTTTTTAACCTTTTCCCTTGCAACTGACAAAATTACAATAGTCAATTCTACTTGATGTTCGATACAATGATGCAGCACCGGCACATTGTTCCAGCTTTACGCTAGCGGCACCTATGTAAAGTTCTCTTCAAGTCCAACGCAAATTCCTACTCCCAATGAACTTTCAAGCAAAATTTCAATTAGAATTCACCAAATGAACTTGAATAAGATTTCACAATAACATTTCAAATATGATTTTTCTTAAGGTGTACTTTAATTAGAACTATTAATCATTTTCAACAAAGAATTCGGGTCACGCCTAAATTCTAACAATCTCCACATTGACGCGAATTTCACTGCAGTAAACAAAACTTCAAACATTTTCCACCTTGAGACAAATTCCACTGCAAGGAATAACTTGAAGTTTTCAATGAAAAACACAAACGAACTTCTCCATCAACAATTCCAACTGAAAATATTATTCACCTCTGCTATCCCATCTAGGGGCAAAAGTGATCTAATGTCCATCAAATAAGGTTGAAACAAGCCCTGTAATATAATCACAATTGAATGCATCAAAAGGAGGATCTTAGCTAGAGTCACACCCTTAACTACATTCCAACCATCAACAAAATCAGCAGAATTGTACCTATGTGGAACCTTATGGCAAAAAAATGGGTCCATTTCTATCAATTGAATACGATGACACTGTCGATAATGATGATCCATATCTTCAAAATTCAATTGAGATGTATTCTTAAACGAAAACTCCAAACTATACTCCAACGGTAAAGAAGTCAACTCTAAATCTACATGAGTTCTTAAAATATGCTGATTGCTTAAAGAATATGTATAACCCTGCAACATGTATAAATGGGATTTTTTATGTCCCATCAGCAGCACAACACATGCTCATTTGATAATCTTCAGAACTCTTCCTTCAACAGTGTACTTGTACCCTTTTGAATCAAGAGTGCCTAAGGAGATAAGATTTTTCTTCAAATTTGGAATGTGTTTCATTGCATGAAGTGCTCTAATCGTCCCATCAAATATTTTTGTTATGACCCGACCAATACCAGTTATCCAACAAGGTGTGTTATTACCAGTCATCACAACACATTTTGAAACTTCTTTATATGTTGAAGACAATTCCTGATTGGATAACATATGAAAAGTTTCTTCAACATATGAAAAGTACAAGCTGTACCCAAAATCCAAGTCTCATCAGATTTGAAGTTGTAGTCAGACATAAGTAGTAGCTCTCCATCACCGTTAGGTTTTTCTGCAATACTTGATTTCCCTGACTTTTTGATTGTTGAATTGCAGTTGACTTTGATTTATTCTGCAACTTATAACAATCGTTTACCATGTGCCCCATTTTTCTTGCAGTAATTACAAATTTTGAAGTTAGATTTTGACTTGCCACTCGAATGACCACCATGAACAATGAGACCATCTACATGATCCCCAGATGCTACAAGATACTTTATTTTCTCCTTTACATATAGAGCATCGCAGACTTCTTCAATGGTGAGAGTATCACGTCTATATAAAATCATGTCTCTAAAAGACATATATGAGACAAGCAATGAACACAACAAAATCAATCTCAAATCTTCTTTATATATTTGACCTCCAAGGTCTTCAAATTAGCATCGATTTATGTAAAAGTAGCTAGGTAATCCTCAAGAGATGTACCTTTTTGTCATACGATAAGAATATAGATGTTCCAGATGCAATTTGCTAGTAAGATTTTTCGTCATGCATAATTGCTCCAATTTTAATCATAAAGCAGCGGCTGACTTCTAATTTAAACCGTTCTGAATAATATTATTGGAAATATAAAGATGTATTTGAGATAGGATCTTTCGATCCCTTTGTTGTTTTTTCTCCACAGTCCAACTTGTGGGTATCTTGTCAAATCCCAATAAAGCGTCGTCCAAATCCATCTGAGCGAATACTACTTGCATTTTTGCCGGCCACAAAGAGAACCTTCCATTGAGATTTAATAGCGGAATATCATACTTCATTGTTGCCATCACGAAAAAAACCCTCGATCTTCTAAAAAATTTCAACACCAAATGCTTTGATACCAAATGTTATGGATTGACCAAGATACTAGAATCACTCTAATACCAATTGTTATGGAAACCAGAATGCTCTAATATTAGAATAGCTCTAATATCAGTTTGTTGTGAGAAAATAAGAGATTAAGTGCAATATGGAATAATTGATCGCAACAAAACAAGAATAATATAATTTGAGGAGAATTGATTTTTTATTATAATATGGAAAAAGAATACAAAAATTATGTGTTTATAATTTGTCTAATTTAATCTAATTTCCTTTAAAATACAATGAAAAGCTAAATATATATAGGGGATGTCCAACATTTATAGTAGAGTTGTAGTTGAAATAAAATGCCTAAAAGGCGTCCAAAACCGAAAAGGAGATAAAAAACGAAAAAAATAGTGTTGTGGTGCCACTCTCCG